GGGGGGGGATTTTTTTTCAGGGCTTGGGCTTGGCCCCTTAGTTACAGTGAAGGGAACTCTTTAAGACATCAGCATACCAAGACATTGTGGGAACAGTTTAGGGATGGCCCCTTCCTGTTCCAACATGACTGCGCACCAGTGCACAAAGCAAGGTCCATAAAGACATGGATGGGGGAGTTTAGGGTGGAGGAACTTGACTGGCCTGCACAGAGTCCTGACCTCAACCCAATAGAACACCTTTGGGATGAATTAGAGCGGAGACTGCGAGTCCGGCCTTCTCCTCCAACATCAGTACCTGACCTCACAAATGGTCAAACATTCCCATAGACACACTCCTAAACCTTGTGGACGCCTTCCCAGAAGAGTTGAAGCTGTTATAGCTGCAAAGGATGGAGCCAACTCAATATTGAACCCTATGGACTAAGACTGGGATGCCATTAGAGTTCATGTGCGTGTAAAGGCGTCCCAATACTTTTGGCAATATAGTGTATCTTGTCCATGTTCTATACTGAGACCACTTGAGGGTGGTCACATCAACCTGATAACTACAGGGTGCATTCCAGCATGGTGTGCGAGGGGAATATGCTGTATATCCTCTTGGACTGAGATGTTGTGATGTCAGTACTGTGCTGCTAACTGTTCTCCTTGCTGGAGGCACTAACATGGGGAAGCAAAGCCCTGCCTCTTCCAAGATGGCCGTCTCTACCGCCACGCACAGACCAAGCAGAACAAAGTATGAGAAGTCATTGATGGGGTGGGGGATGGAGATCAGCTGCTGGGAGATCACAGACAATACTGCTGACTTGTCATTTGTCTCTCTGCCGACTGCTGAATGTAAACAAAGTGGAGAGGGTTGTGCTGATGTCTTTGACCAAATATGGGCGTTGCCATATATGGTTAATGATCTCAGACAGCATCCCCAGCCACTTTGTTTACATTGGGGCAGCATTGTGCCATTGGTTGCTAGGAAGTTGGCAACCTAGCAACCAACAAACTCTGATAGGGAAGCTGCCCATAACCTGCTCTTTACTACATCACAACTCCACACTGCACAGGCCACCCTGGCACAGCCAATCAAGATGAGGGCAAAAACTGACCCCAAAGACTGAGAAAAGATATCAGGGCCTGCGAGGAAACTCTCAGACGTTGCATTGCTGGGAGGAAAGTGAGTATAATTCCCCTTTAATTTGGGTCAGTGTGCTATTCATTTTGACGCATTAGTAATGCGCCACTCTGCATTGTCGTGTGCGGTGTTGCTAAAAAAAATAGCGCATGCACTTTTATTGTTTTTTGTCGCATTAGGCGGCCTGTTCAATTTTAAGGCAATGCGTGTCGACGCACAATGACAAACTTTGGCTTTAGGTAGGCGTCACTCACATACAAAATCATTTTTTGCAGGAAACATTTTTCATATCATTTTTATTTTTTAATCTAGTGCTTAACTTTGAGAGGTACACTCGCCCAGTTTTCAACAACAGAACCAGAACATTGTAACAGCTCAAAAATCCCTCCTCAGCCTGGCCAGTCGAGTCACAAGATAACAGCCTGGCCAGTAGAGCCACAAGATAACAGCCTGGCCAGTCGAGTCATAAGATAACAGCCTGGCCAGTCGAGTCATAAGATAACAGCCAGGCCAGTCGAGTGAAAAGATAAACTACACTTCCCGTCATGCTTCGAGCGCTCAACTTACACTCGTCAATACTCCGTTGCATGCCGGGAGATGTAGTACGCTGCGGTGCTTGAGCTCCGCCTACTTCAGCAAATGCAGTTGTGCCCGCTGCATGCCGGGAGATGTAGTAGGCTGGCGGGGTCTGTGACGTGTTGCTGGCGGGCGGGCGCGGTCCCGAGGCCGGCAGGTGGGCGGGGGGTGCGCGCCCGAGAGCGAGCAAGAGAGAGAGAGAGAGAGCTAGAGACAGCCCGGCTGAGGGAAGGGGAGAGAGTGCTGCACCTCAGAGGAGGCGGGCACAGTGTGTTGCAGCTGGAGAGAGACAGCCAGGGCACATAAGGCGATACGGACAGGGGGGGTCACGTGATAGAGAGACATCTGGGGGGGGGAGAGTGTGAAAGCAAAGTGAAGACATTCTTCATTCAGGAGACAGTCCCTGGCTTTGGCTGGCTGTATCTGAAGGAACAGACATCAGGGGCCTGTAGGCACACAGACACCCTGCCATCTCCTGGATTGTCGTCTCCATACAAAGGATTTGGGGTGAGCCTGGGTGGAGAGCAGCAGGCCATGGAGAAGAAGTGACAGAGGGCTGACTGCAAGATTGACACCTTTCCGGACACCAAAAGAGACCTCTGCAGGCAGGTGGAATCATGTCGGAGCCCCGGGCTCCCATCAAGCTGTCCAGCACGGAGCGCCCTGTCAGAGGTACATTGCCTTAATTGCTTGACCCTTGTGGTTGCTGACCACTGGAGACTGGTTCTACTGATGGCTGTGACCGACGAGGAAAGGCCACTAACTTCAGTAGACCATTGGCTCCGTGTCATTTATGGTCCATGACCGGTACCGCTTTTGACTGTTCCTGACCACTGAAGACTTGTTCTACTGCCGATGATGAGAGGTCACTGACTTCAGTAGATCATGGCAGGTTCCTTGTCATTTAAGGTTCCTGACCGATAGGGCCTTTGACTGTTCCTGACCACTGAAGACTTGTTCTACTGCCGATGATGAGAGGTCACTGACTTCAGTAGCCCATGGCTGGTTCTCCATCATTTATGGCTCTTGACCGATGGGGCCTTTGGCTGTTCTTGACCACCAAATACTTTTTCTACTGCTGACTGTGACAGATGATGGAAGGCCACTATCTTCAGTAGACCATGGCTGGTACCTGGTCATTTGTTTCCTGACTGACCCAGTCTTTGACCGTTCCTGACCACTGAAGACTTCTTAGAGCCCACTAACTTCAGTAGAGCACATCTGGTTCCTCATTATTTATGGTTCCTGACCGATAGAGCTTTTGACCATTCCAGACCACTGAAGACTTCTTCGAGGCCACTAAGCTGGTTCCTGACCAATACAGCCTTTGACCATTCCTGACCCCTGAGGAATTGTTCTAATGCCAAGTGTGACCAATGAGGAGAGGCCAGTAACTCAGTAGACCACGGCTGTCTCTCTCATTTATAGCTCCTGACCAATACACTCTTTGACCATTACCAACCACTGAAGACTTCTTGGAGCCCCCTAACGTCAGTAGACCACATCTGGTTCCTCATTACTTATGGTTCCTGACCGATAGGGCTTTTGACCATTCCTGGTCACTGAAGACTTCTTTGAGGCCACTAACTTCAGTAGACCATAGCTGGTTCCTGAGCAATACAGCCTTTGACCATTCCTGACACCTGAGGAATTGTTCTACTGCCAACTGTGACCAATGAGGAGAGGCCAGTAACTTAGTAGACCACGACTGTCTCCCTGTCATTTATGGCTCCTGACCAATACACTCTTTGACCATTACCAACCACTGAAGACTTCTTAGAGGCCACTAACTTAAGCTGGTTTCCTGTAATTTATGATACCTGACCAATACAGCCTCCCACTGTTCCTAACCACGGAAGACTTGTTCTGCTGTTGAATGTTAGTACACAATGGCTGGCTCCCTGTCTTTTATTCCTGACTGATATGGCCTATGACCATTCCTGACCACTGAAGACCTATTCTAATCTAGACCAATGACCAGAGACCACTAACTTCAGTACACCCGGGGCGGTTCTGTGTTATCTATGATTCCTGACCGATATGGTCTTTGACTGTTCTTGACCACTGAAGACTTGTTCTACTGCCAACTGTGACCGATGAAGAGAGGCCACTAACTTCAATAGACCGTGGATAACTCCTATTCATTTATGATTTCAGACCTGAGGGCCTTGGACCATTCTGACCACTGGAGACTTCTTACAGCTACAAATGCTACCACAACAGATTGACCCTACAAACCTTTCCAGCGCTAGCTATTGCTGACCACTGCCAAACCCATTGTCACTAACCATTACTTCCTATTAGCCCTGCTACCCCTGATCATTACTGACCGCTACCAATAATTGCTGCCTGCCACTGACCCTACTATCTCCAACTATTGCTGCCTGCCACTGACCCTACTATCTCCACCTATTGCTGTCTGCCACTGACCCTACTATCTCTAACCTTTGCTGCCTGCCACTGACCCTACTATCTCCAACCATTGCTGGCTGCTACTGACCCCACCGCCATGAATCATTACTGGCTGCTACTAACCCTACTATCTCCAACTATTGCTGGCTACTACTGACCCTATTATCTCCAACCATTGCTGTCTGCTACTGACCCTACTATCTCCAACTATTGCTGCCTGCCACTGACCCTATTATCTCCAACCATTGCTGGCTGCTACTAACCCTACTATCTCCAACTATTGCTGCCTGCCACTGACCCTACTATCTCTAACTATTGCTGGCTGCTACTGACCCTACTATCTCGAACCATTGCTGATAACTTCAGATCCTATTACCACTTCCAGTTTGTGACTTCTCCAGATTCTATGGACACTAAACATTACGGACCACTAAAGACCACACTACCACTAACCATTGGTTACCTCTATTGGCCCTACTACAACTAACTGTTGGTTAACACTACTGACCTTACTACCCCTTCCCTGTATTGACTTCTAAAGATACTACCCCCAACCATTCCTGACCACTACTGACCTTGTTACTACCACAGCAGTCTCAACAATATATTGGTTAACATTCCTTTCCCTATAGAGCATGCTGGTACTGAAACTTTTGGCTCCTACAGTCCATACCACCACCAAATGCTCCGATGCCTAGCCTGATACCGGAACTTCGGGTATCAGGAAGCTGGGCAGCGAGTCATTACATGCTGACTGGCTTCCCGATTGGCCGGTAAGCCGGCCTCATGTTCCCTCAGCACTTGGTGTAATGACTCGCGGCCAGCTTCCTGCTTGATCAAGAAGCTGGCCAATCATGAAGCCGGATGGTGAGTCATTACCCGGCTTCCTGATTGGCCAGAAAGCCGGCTTTATGCTCCCTCGTCACCTGGTGGCGAGGGAACAGGGAGCCGGCTTCCCGGACAATCGAGGACGGGCGCCATGAAGCTGGCCTATCAGGAAGCCAGGTGGCTAGTCATTACATGGGGCCCAGCTTCCTGATTGACCAGAAGGGAGGCCGGGCGCCATGTAGCTGGCCAATCAGAAAGCCAGGCGGCTAGTCATTACATGGCACCCGGCTTCCTGATTGTCCAGAAAGCAGGGTCCATGCTCCCTGGTCACCTGGTGGCGAGGGAACAGGGAGCCGGCTTCCCGGCCAATCAGGAGGCCGGGAGCCATGAAGCTTGCCAATCAGGAAGCCAGGCGGCTAGTCATTACATGGCGCCCGGCTTCCTGATTGACCAGAAAGCTGGCTTCATGCTCCCTGGTGATGGAGACGACGGCTTCCCTGGTAATCGGGAAGCCGGGTGGCGAGTCATTACACGCTGCCTGACTTCCTTAATTGGACTTCCGGTATCAGTGAGTACCGGAAAAAAAATATAGGTACTTGATTCTGAAAAAACAGTATTGGTGCATTCCTACCATTAATCATTTCATACCACAACTGACTATAGTACCACTAAACACTATTGTTCTGACCACTACTGACCATTTATTTTCAAAACAGGGCCTCCAAACACCACCATTGACACCACCATTGACCCATCTTACACCAACTATGCATGAGGTCTGTAGATCCTGCCATCATTATCCGTGTGGGACCAGTGTAGTATGTTCTATTACAGCCAGTGGTAATCCCTGGCCACCAGAGACTTTGACACTCGCATTTACTGGCTCCTGCATGTTACATCCATCTAACCACTTTAGTTCAGTCCACCAAATGGCAGTTCATGACCTAAGCTGACTCCACCATGAGTTTCTACTGTAGATCAGGGCTGGACAAATCCCAGGAGCCAGGTAGCCAATGCCCCTTAAAATATACAGCTGGCGCCTAACTTTTGAGGTTTTCTATGGTTGTTGTCAATGGAGCTGCCTCCTAGAAAAATGTATTCCTTTGATACCCGTAGTCTTTGACCTTCCTGATCACCAAAATCATGATCATAACCAACCTTTTCAGATTAGGACACCTAGCCCCCATTAACCTTTGCTTGCAAATCCAGACAACTTCACACACCTACTGCTACCGTTTCCGACGACTGTTGACACTGTTTACTAATTAGTCCAACCTAATGGAAATATTACGAGGACTAATTGTAGCTCCTAATACTATCCCCTGACAAGCTTTTGTTCTACCAGAGCTCGCCCAGTAACTGATATTACCATATGACTTTCCCTAGCTGACAAAAGTACAAATTGGTATCCTGAAATATTTTCGGTAATACATAAACATGAGGAGCTAGGCACATGGATGGTACTGGTTTCTGACCCATGGCTGTGCCTAGCTATTATCTGTTACCCTATTGGGATTCCATGGAGTTGTATCTATTTCTGTTTTCCCATTGCCTCCTCTAGGTTTTGATTTTAGGAGCCCATGACCATTCCTGGAATGTTTTTATGTAATCCATGGCCTTACTATTGTCTTTGTTGCCTTTGCTGACCTTTATCTGTTCATTATGCTATTGACCTTACTGAAAGTACAACTCTGCATCATGTTGAAGCTTCTAATTTATTACTATGCTGCTCTACTGAATGACACGGTTGGCACAGAGAAGGAGAAGCCTCAGATAAAAGCTGCCATTGGCTCCTGGACTGGATTCTAGTTCCAGGGTCTGGATCAGGGGTGGACAAATGAATATGGAATTCAGGATCCAGTCTGTCCAATCCAGGACCAGCTGAAGAGAACCACAAATGTTGGGCTCCGGATGTAATTTGTAGGGTGCGTTGGCTACCTGGGTTCTGGGATTTGTTCAGCCCTGGTATAGACATCCATGGCCTTTGCCGTATGTTGAGTATCTTCTGAGCCAGAAAACCCAAAGCTGCAATTTGCTTTACTATCAGCAAAACTGGGCGTAGAGTGTGATGGTAGTTCTCCTGTGTAGGAACCATGGACAAGACATGGGCTGCCATCACTGTCTATGGCTGATCCCTATACGCAGCCTGGGGCATGTACCATATCCCAAACAGAGGTTGGAGTGGCTGATTGTAGACATGGCGTCTGTCCCAGAAAGGCCGGGCAGTGTGTACAGTGTGTATCAGCACTGTAGAGCTTCTGAGAAACAGGGTCCAATTCAGATGATTTATCCAATAGCCGGGAAAGGAGGGGGTGTAATATAAAGTCTTACCTGCAGTTATTCTTTAACAACATTACAGTATAGGATAGTATCAGAATCCTTGCCAGGTTTGTATTGTTGACTGTGACCCCCTGCTGGGGTGGTTCACCCTC